ATAGATCTCACTCAGGAGGTGTGCACTGCACAAGAATGATAAACTCTACCTTTTATAATTTTTGAGTTATTGCCCTTTGTTCTTTTTCATACTTTAATTTTTTCAATTCAATTTTTTTCTCAAAAAGTATTTGAGGTATCAACTTGAAATATCATAGGTGGATAGATTTTACTGAGGAGGGATGCAGCACACAAGAATGATAACCTACCCTGCATATTTTTTCAGTAATTGCCCTTTGTTATTTTCAGCCATCAGTATTCAGATAGGTTTCAAATCTGTAATCACTATAGCCATCAGTTTTCATTACCAAAAGACCTCTTAAAATGGAATTATTCCGCTCTACTACATATACATTCTTCCAATGAGCAAACACATTCGGCAGGGGGATGGCCATGTTGACATGGCTCTTGTTTTATATACTGTAGTGTGGACGCCTTAAGCTGCTACGCCGCATATAGCTCAAATAGAGCACCCTGTACAGCTTTATCCGTCGACATGTTACTTAAATTGCCAATTGCACTTTCGAATATTGTTTGTTTGTTTGTTCGATTGGGTTTTTCGTCACACCGACACAGTAAAGGTCATATGGCGACATTCCAGCTTTACTGGTGGAGGAAGACCTCTGGTGCCCTTCTGTGCATTATTTCAGGTACGAACAGGCACCTGAGTAGAACCACTGACGTTCCGTATGCTAGCTGGATAGCTTGCTCACATAAAAGAATCCAAAGTCCTTGTCGGGATTCGAACCCACAGCAGTGAGGGGCAAGAGGTTTGAAGTCAACGACCTTAATCACTCGGCATCGGACGCCCTACTTTCGAATATAGCTCCCAACAAGGGAGAGTTGTATACGCCAAGATGCCCTAATTTTACAGATAAAGCTCTCCATATTTAATAATGGCATTATAAAGTTTGATGATAATCTATCTAAGATCATCATCATTATCATCATCATCATCATCATCTTTGAAATTTGTACATCAGCAAAAATACATACTATTGATCAGCAACATCATCGTCCGGCTGTCATCTGCAACAATACAGCATCAGTACATCATTCCCTATTCAACATCAACTTTATCTTCATCAGTACATAAACACCATGTTCTTATATTGAAACAAAAGGTGAGTAATTTAAATTGATAAAATTTTAACCATTGTAAATGCAATATCTATGTAATCATCTTTTGTTATTCTTATCAAAAAATAAACACACATATAGACAAGAACAAGGGGATGTGGCTCAGTGGTAGAGCGTTCGCTTTTGTAACGTGCACCGAGCTTATACCTGTATGATACTAAATTTTCCTCTGGCTTCTTTTCCTTATGATTATTTGATTGAAGACCAATGATTTATATTGCTTAATAAATGTGCATGAATTACCAAATTGAATTAAATATATAGATATAATTTTCCTCGAGACTACCTTGTCTTTTAATTGAAAAACGAATAATGATTTCTATACCTATTAAACAATTTATTAAATTAATATCCTTTGAAATACTATTTATATATATATACGTTCCTCTTTCTCGATCTCTATATCTCTACTAATAACATTATTCTTAATCTTCCTTTATTAATCTTTAATCCTTGCTTTCTTTCTACTTAATATTTCTCAGCCTTATCACAGCGCTATGCACTGTGCAACTAAGAATATAAAAAGTAGGTATAGCATTTAGGATTGTCGACTGTTCAACACGCTGCCAAAACACCAACTCTCAATTTCTCACATTCACCTGCCTTATATATTGGCTCGGGACTGCTTGCGCCCTCTAGTGTCTTCCATATCTTGCAAACGCTTGAATATTACTTCTATTGAATTACCTACTGCTTACCTTTTCAATATGCGTTACTTTTGTATATAATTACATGACTCGGGAACCATCGCCAAAATGAATATAATCTTACCTTTTCTACATTAAATAATATACCTGCAATGTTCTAAGGACTCCAAAATGAAAAGTAAAAGGTAATTAAATCATGCAACATCATCAAACATGTTTGAAATCAACTTACAGATACAATTTATGAGAATTATCTTTTCTGGAAATATTCGTTTTGATTGTATACAAATGGTGTTTATTCATTAAGGGGAAGTAACTTTTCCACATTCGCTACACTTTGCATGTGAAAGGCCCCGGGTTCGATCCCCGGCATCTCCATATATTTTATTTATTATTGGTATTTCTTATGAAAACCTCACTGTGTAAGAAATTTGCGTATTTGAACTGCTTTATATTAAACAAAACAGAACATTAATAAAATATAAACTACTGAATAAAAATGTAAATTCTTTATATATTGAAACAAAAGATGAGTTTACGCTTTGTATGGGAGAGCCCCCCCCCCCCTTGGTTTGATCTCCAGTCATATTTTTTTCAAAAGGTTCTTTGCAATAATTTGTGTTCAATTTACGTTTACTTTTAGTTTTACTGTATAATAGTATACATTATATCAATAACAATGTAGAAACGGAATCACTCTATCTTTAATTTCAATTTGATTTAATTAAACATGTTTCATTTTGCCAGCACTGGATGTAGATGTATTTAATTGCGTGGTAAATTATCTGAACTCAAATATGCATAGGTTTTACTGCTACTGCCTTGTAGGAATGTGTGAAGTTGGCGGCCCAGCGGCCTGGCGGCGTGAAGTTGGCGGCGGCCCAGCGGCCAAAAATTTTAATGTTGCAGAAATGTTATTTAAACAATAAAACGGCATTTAATAATGTTCTAAAGACATTTGTTATTATTTAAAGGATATAATTAAAAAAAAAGAAAAAGATCACTTTGAGAGTTTTTTCTATTTTATCATTTTTTGTGATGTCAGCGGCCAGCGGCTGGGCCGCCAACTTCACATATCTGTCGGCTTAGTATATAATCTGTGTTTATAAGGATGTACTTATTGTTAATTATGTCATTTTATGAATAAAGATATTCAAACATCATATACATGTTATGTGTTTGCTGGTACGCTAAAAGGTTTGTTTACCACTAAATCATTCAAACCATTCAAACCATTTCACCCTGTACTGCTAAATAATCGTCGTACATCACTTTAATTGTCGTCTACTTTCGTTAAATTTCTATCACGTGTTATTTTACGCTGGTCAAAAGATGCATACTGCTACATTTTATTTACTTGTTTTAATGCTCATGTTCACTTACTTCAATATCAAAGAAGACAAGTTAAATGTTGATGCTGCACACCAAAGACGCCGCCAAATGATGTGAACAGTCACAGGCAATGTAGAAACCCAGCCTTGACAATTGTTCTCTATTACAGTTGAATATCTGAAACACTAATAAATTTTTCTCTATGTTCTTGTCATGTGCTCGTTGTTTAAAGATTAAGTTGCATATTTTTGTGAAAAAGTAGAACCTAATGCGTAATTCCAAAGTAATGCCATGTCTGAAATTCTGAAATATATTTATTTGGCTGTTGAGACAAAGACGAAAGGTCTGGTCGAAGCAAAGTAAATTGGATAACAAGTAAAAATGAAATGATTGGTATAATTAAATAAATTCAAGACAAACACAGAGTAAAGAAGAAAATAATCTCCGTTGCGCAGAGAATATGTTCCTTAAAATACTGGTGCCGATTGCAAAATGTTCGAATGATTTTCAGGACCAACTGTTCTGTTATTTTACACATAGCAAAAATATGTCTGTAATATGAAATAATTATTATGAATAAATTGTTGAATATAATCAATTCTTAGTTACGTATTGTTTACTTATTTATGAAAGATTAAAACTAATTGATTGAACACAAGACTGCATATTTGCCTCCTGGAGTTTAGGTATAGAACCACTAAATGTAATAAAAAATTCTACGTAACAGAATCCTTAAAAATAACCTATTGCAAATATTTGTGATACATTTTAAAATAAACGTACTTTTTTCACTCAGTTAATCTGTTTTCATCGTCGGATACCCACGGCCGAACCATTAACATTTATTGATTTCATGCTATGTGACATGTTTATCAATCGTGGGTATCCGACGATGATCTGTTTTATAACTTTAATGTTAATTATTTCTCATAAATAAGCACACGTTTTGCAAAAAAAAATCCGTTGCGCCCGTAGCGCCTGATAATCTCCGTTGCGTATTTTAGTCATACCTCTTGTTCCCTGTCCGAATTTGGTTCCCATCCTTAGATTATAGACTGGCTCATTGAACACGTCTATATGAGGGAAAATGTTAAAAGAAACGAAACAAAAACAACACAAAAGGTGGTTCTACTCGGGTACCCGCTCATGCCTGAAATAATTTACGAAGGGGCCAGAGGTTTTCCTGCAGCTCACAAGCTCTAAAGTCGCCATATGACCTGTACTGTTTCGGTTCGACGTAAAACCCAGCAATAAAATAAATAATTCTATAAATTATACATGCAATAATAATAACAAAATTAATAAAACATGTTTCATTTACCTATCAAAATATATATCTCATTATTCTTTTCAATAACTGAATCGTCTCTGTCAACCTGGTCGCATATGTACAACATTTCCGAACAAACTCATTCCTGTGTTGCTGTCAAGCACAAAAGAAAGAAAATATAAATACCTAAACAACGTCTTACACGGCAAAATTTAAAATGTTGCAGGTTCGGTTTGACTGAGCCTGTCAATAATAATGGACGATAATAATGAAATAATGTACGGAAGGGTACCTGTGGTCTTCTTCCAACAGTAAAGCTGGAAAGTCGCCATATGTCCTATACTGTGTCGGTGAGACGTAAAACCCTATCAAACAAGCAAACCAAACAATGTGTGCATAAACATAATTTAAGCAATCAAAACAATGCTCAAGACAACCAGCAAACTGCAATTCTTGTATTTTAAGATACAGAAAGGCTATATATATATGTAAGGCCCATACGAAACACGCAAACTGTTTATATTTTACAAAATATTTCTACCAATTCTATACTTTATTTTAAAGTATAGATTTTACGTTTTTATTATGTGTTTTCTACTTTATTGAAAGAAAACAAACAAAGACACAGTCACGCACACACGCTCAAACTACATGTTTAGATCTCCGTGACCTCGGTGTAATATAAACATTAATGTTATTTTGTGGGAAAATGTATATCCTCCTAACCCTCCTGTCTTGTATTCTTGGATTTATCAATGCAAATGACAGCCCAACCACATCTATTTTTAATTCTTCTTCTTCTTTCGTCTTATGTTCTGAACTCGCCTTGAACACTTATTATTCACACCAGCCTTTCAATCTCATCTAAATGTATTTAAGTAGGACCGGTTTTTAATTTAAAAATATTTAACATAAATTAATCAATGTTTAAACTGTTTACTCGCCGACCTTAGTGACCATTATTTTATTGCTTTTAATTCAACTCTTTTTCAAAGTATATTTTGAAAATATGTAAGTTACAACAAAGTAAATCACACCAAAGCAACGAAAGCAAAATACTTAGTAAGACACATTATAATTGTTACGTATAATGCACATAATATATATGTGTTTATATAAATGCATCAACAGAATCATCCATACATTCTGCCCAGCTTGTATGATGGGATGGTGCAAGTTTCCCCGTGTAAATAGATTCATAGCACTCATCTTTATATCGGATGATGTTGTTTTGCCTTTTCTCAATTAGGTCAATCAAAATAGCATATGCCTTATCGACATATTCCACTGGGTAGTCGACATCGCTACCAATGTCATGAAAAAAATCTCTTTGAAATGTAAAAATATCAGTTACACTTTTTACATTCTGTATTTGTTTCTGCCATTTTTTAATATTACATTCCATTTCCTCCAACTGAACTTTTTGTCCAGATAATTCTTTAAAGATGAACTTCAAAATCCACATGGCTTGTGCATCCAATAAACCAAACCCAAAAAATATGTCAAAGGCTGCCATATGAAATAGTTTCTTGTTGCCGCCTTTAAACCACACTGTACCTTTGTATAAGTTGTCCGGGTAAAGGGTTCCTGTACCTTCGCCGTCAAAATGAAGATTCCCCATCAAAAATGGATAATTATATCTATATCCCGTACAATAGATGATTGCATCAAAATCAAACTGTGTTTTATCTTTGAACACAGCTGTATTGCCTTTGATTTCATCGACGATTGGTCGTTCTTCAACACCTTTAGGCCACTTCAAATTCATGGGTTCTTTACAACTACAAATGACATGTGCTGAGCCATACTTATTCAGCTGAAGAGCAATGTCGCCTGCAGAGAATCTGCCACCTATGATAAGCACCTTTTGACGCGCAAACTCCTTTGCATCCCTGAACTCGTGGGAATGGAGTACTCTACCACAAAATGTATCAATACCAGGGTAAGTTGGCATGTTCGGGTAAGAAAACCTTCCCGAAGAAACTATAACATGTGAAAATACTTCCTCGACCAGGGAGTTGTTAGGCAGATTTCTTGCCCAGACAATAAAGTCGTCAGTCGTATCTCTGTATTCAACACTACTGACTACATGTTGATAGTGAATGTGTTCCAGAAAATCACCTGTGCTGACCCTTTTCATGCGACCTGTAATTATCACAAAATAGCCCCTCCTATGACAAAAAAGTAAAATCTTCTAGGTACACTAGCATCATTTAAAGAGGTTTTCAACATTTAAATGTGATAAATGAAACTGTGAGTTTAGTACTAAAAAAGATTTGTAGATGTGTACATGCTGAGGCGGTCATTAAAATTCATTAAAACTAGAAATGTGTCATCATGCCACGGAAGCCCCCGCATGCAGCCAAAGTTTCAGATGTTACAATACTTATTGCACAAAATATTTTTTTTTCATTTTTAAGTTCAAAGCCCTTAAAACTATTCAATGTTAACACAAACCATTTTTATACAATGTTCAAGGCACTGAAATTATTCAGTCTTAACCTTTTATAAATTGCATATTGCATATTTGTAGCCAAAATAATGGCTACATACATTTCCACAAAAGTATGAGTGCTGAAACTGAAAATTCAAATTTTTTCCAACATTCAAGAAAGATATAAGCTTGTCCAAAATCATTGAACCACGATCAAATTCAAACTTGAACTGCTTATTCCTAAGATGTATCTATATATCAAATTTGAGTTGAATGTGTACAACCATTGGGGAGATAATGAATGGAAACTTAAAATTTCTGATCTTTTTTTCAAAGTTTAAGAGGGATAACTCTGTCAGCTATCATCAAACCATGACCAAATTCGAAATTGACCAATGCATTTTTATGACATATCCATATCTTTTATTTGAGTTGAATATGTACAACTGTTGGGGAGATAATGAATGGGAACTGAAAATTTCCTATTTTCAAAAGTTTAAGGGGCATAACTCTGCCATCAATCATTGAACCATGACCAAATTCAAATTGTATCTGTATTTTCTCATGACATATCCATATGTCAAATTTGAGTTGTGTGCAACCGTTACAAAGATAATGAATGGAAACTGATGATGAAGGAATGACAGAATGACGGAATGACGGAAGGACGAACGGAATGACGGATGGACGGAACAGGGTAACACTATATGCCCCGGCCATTATATGGCGGGGGCATAATCAGTGTCACGTGTCAATACCACTTTTAATTTATATTATATTTTATTTTCTACCATAACCTTACATTGTATGGGGATAAAGTGAAGTACCAACTCATACATAGAACATTCCTAGGAAATAAAATCGTAAAATGAAACCGCGTGAATATCTGATTGTTCAAACACACAGTTAAACTTTCTGAAATTATACTGTTCTTTTCTCTCAATCATTCTATAAACTTAATAAAATGAGATGGTCCTGCCCTTTATTTGATATAAAATAATGAAGTATTTCGAAGTAATGGAAGGAAATATAATCTGCACAAGTATGGTGTTTAGGCATTTGTCTCAAGCAGATCAAATCAAGTGATATAGGAACAGTCATTTGAGTAATCTATGAACGATAGAATGTTGTTATGAGTTGAGAACAAAAGTTAAGATGGCGTCCATGCATGGTAATATTATTTTTTTCCATTTTTTTTACTCTGAAAGGGTAAAATAAACGATATTATTATTTACATTAATATATTCAAAATCATCATTATTATTTATCTACAGGATTTCTACCCATGTCAGCCAAGATTAAACAGAACATCGTTCTTAAGCTAATTCAAAGGCGGTGAATGACTACTAAATACTAGTCGCCGAGGTGTAAATATTTTTAGAATATCAAAACATCGCCTTTTTATGGGTTGACAATGAAATAAATTTACAAAAAGGGAAATGTTGTTGTTTTTTTGCTACAATATAACTTTTTATCTGTTTTGTCAAAGCTTATTATCTCAAGTGACACAAGTATTCTACAACTATGGGAACCATTGTAATATCGTTCGCGAGTAAAATGAATTCCCTTACCGTCAAGATAGCGTCGATACATTTCTCTTGGTAAATAGGAAGGCAACTCTTTACCAAAATGATCCTGAAATGTATAATCCTTGTATTCATTAACTTCCTTCGCTCCTATCGCCCACAAATTTCGGTACATACAATTATGTATACGTTCACCATATTCGTCCGCGTCTGAAATGTAAAAATCATACCTGTTGTTGCATAGTCGAATATAATCAATATAATCAGTGCTTATTATGTGATGCTAATTTTAACAAGAAGGCCATGATGGCCCTAGAATGCTCACCTGACCAATCGAACTCGTCCGAACAAGCAGTCTGACCAAGTTTCATGACAGGTGAGTCAAAAATGTGACCACTAGAGTGTTAAAAAGGATTATCCATATTTGAGCAATGTGACCTAGTTTTTGACCACAGGTGACCCATATTCGAACTTATCCTAGAAATCATCAAAACAAACTTTCATACCAACAGTTGCCACTAGAGTGTTAACAAGGTTTTTCTATTCTTAGCTCCTGTGACCTAGTTTTTCATCCGAGATTACCCATGTTCTAACTCATCCGAGCAATTACCTAGACAAGCATCCTGAACAAGTTTGATGACAACTGAGTCAAGAATGTGACCACTAGAGTTTTAACAAGGTTTTTATATTTTTAGATCCGATGACCTAGTTTTTCATTCAAGATGACCAATGTTCAAACTCATTTGAGCTATGACCTAGACAAGCATCCTGACCAAGTTTGATGATGATTGAGGCAAAAATGTGACCACTAGAGTGTTAACAAGGTTTTTCTATTTTTAGCTCCGGTGACATAGTTTTTCATTCGAGATGACCCATATTCGAACTCATCCCAGCTATCAACTAGATAAGCATCGTGACAAAGTTTAATGATGATTGAGGCAAAAATATGACCACTAGAGTGCTAACAAGGTTTTTCTATTTTTAGCTCTTGTGACCTAATTTTTCATCCGAAACCCTTGTTCCGCTAGTGTGTTAATAACAAGGTTTTTGTATCTTTAGCTCCGGTGACCTAGTTTTTCATCCGAGATGACCCATGTTCGAACTCATCCGAGCTTTTACCTAGACAAGCATCCTGGCAAAGTTTTGTGATGATTGAGGCAAAAATGTGACCGCTAGAGTGTTAACGAACAGACAACGCACGACCGATGACGGACATTCAACGATCCTAAAAGCTCACCCTGAGCTAGCCTAGAAGGCAAAATGTGGGAAATGAGGGCAAAGTCATACAGATTACTCTTACTTTTACTATTACATGTACATATAACTCATTAATTTCATTTGAATAAATATAACCTTTCTTTTTCAATGCCTTTGTTACATATGCTTTGATCACTATAACTTTGACCATCTAACCACAAATTCATAAGACGTCATTTTAAATTCAAGAGTGACCTCCAAATCAAATCTTACAGCGCTCTTTCATTGGTTGGTAATCCGTCATTTTCGGAGTATTTGTTTTAATTTATGGTTATTTTCTACTGCTACCTGTTACGAGCGTTTGACAGATGAATATAATTTAATAAATGTAACCCAAAGCTTCAGTTGAAGAGGTCTCCAAGTTTAATGTTTTCATTTCACGAACATGTAGCACTGGCACTGAGACCGAACTATTGGGAACTTGGAATTTGTCATAGCCTTAGTTTGTTTTTTTGTAAAATCCAATAAATTGGAGAGCTGACTTTAAACAACAACAACAATAATAATAATAATAATAATAATAATAATAATAATAATAATAATAATAATAATAATATATATAAAATAAATAATAATAATAATAATAAATTATAATAAACAACGACCTTTTCTCCAGGTAAAGTTCCATTGTCCACACCATGTTGCCTGCTTTTCATAACATTCAAAGTCAATCTCGTCAGGGTAAAGTTGTTTTATCTGGTACATCACTGACATGCCGCTTGGACCGGCTCCAATAATACACACTCTTGGTTTCTGTTTAGACATTTCGTTAAGGTGAAACTATTGACAGGTTTTAGGCCAAGTCAGATAGCTGATAAATAGAAATAATCAGTTATTTCAATATAGGAAACGTGGTCAGAAAATATGCATAGTACGTGGGCTGTCGCACAAAGTCGTGGACAATCGCTGTAAAACAAAAAAATGTTACGACTGAGTCTAAAATAACTTTGCCCATGTTTATCTCCATCAATTTGAAGTAACATAAGGAACTTTTTTTTTTTTCAAGAAAATATACACGTACATACATTAAATTATAAAGGATTTATACAGACATGAGGTATGCGTCATTTTACAAACTTAACACATTATCTTCAAAATAAGTGGTCGATGACGTTTAAAAATCTCCCTAATGTTATGTCATTGACATTGACCATATTAGCCGCGTCACGACAAATCCAACGTTATGTGTTTGCGACCGGCATGGATCAAGACCAGCCTGCGCATCCGTGCAGACTGATCAGGATCCATGCTGTTCGCTATCAGTTTCTCTACTTGTTATAGGGTTTGTAAGCGAACAGCATGGATCCTGATCAGACTGCGCGGATACGCAGGCTGGTCTGGATCCAGGCTGGTCGCAAACGCACAGTGTTGGTTTTGTCGTGACGCGGCTTATATGTCTGATGCATTACGACATAATTTTAAGGAAGTCCCTAGACAAGTCTCTTTACAGTTCCTCTTTACTTTATGTTGTACACGCATAAGCACTATAAAATGTCAACGTTTGACGCTGCCAAAAGTCAGCTTTAGTGCTGCCATGTAAGAAAAAGTTACAGATTTAAGAAAAGTTTCGGATTCTTTTTGCGAGCATCAGCATACAATTGTCGGAATCAATGAAATATAGCAAAAATAGAATGTCTTTGTTCAGGCGAATAAGATGTTCTATGTAGGGGAATGGTAAACAAGTGTTTCAATGGGCGGAGTAGGATAACATTTTATGCATATTTTAAGTAGAAACGATCATTTTGCTTGTGTGATTTGTTAGCTGTATGATATTATTTAATTCTTAGTAATTATAGATAGGAAAAGGTTTCTCATGAGGATGATATTAAAGATTATTTAGAGTTTCCTCATTTTGAAAAACAGCCCTCCTTATTGTGCCCCAATAAATGGAGTAATGGGAAACAACGGAACATTATCAAAACTTCATAAAGAAGACGAAGAAATACAAGTCGCGACACTCGTATATACAATGGGAAAGGAAGCTGACAATTTGTTAAAATCTTTTGAACTATCAGAAAGTAACGCGAAGAAATATGACACTGTCTTAACAAAATTCGAATAAGAAAAACATCACGAACGAACAAACGAGCATAATTGACATGACGCCAGAGAAGAGATTGCTCCGCCCACTGATTCACTTGACCCGGCCATTCAGAACCTAAGACAAAAGACGGTACCGACGTTTACGCGAACTGTCATGCCACTTAAGTGACTAATGAATTTACCTGGTATATATAAAATTTTAATGATTTTATTGAAAAGTTCAATGTATTATGGTATTTAAAAAAGTAGCAGATAACTGCATTCACGCATTAATGATTAATAAAACGTTTGGCAAAGATCTTGTTATATTTCTTGCTGACATCAAGGAAGATGTTACTGACAAAATATCATTTTAGTTTTACAAATTCAAAGATAGTTAAAAATTGATGTAGCGGAACATATAATAGTAAAATTATATTTGATTCAATGAAACAGTAACATTTACAAATGTGTTTTGGGGTTTTATGTGCGAAATCACTTATATATAATGCATTTGCGCATAAATTGTCTAAATTAAATGAGAACATTACTCTTGCGTAACTTTGTTGTATGATATATGATTATATGTATATTTGTACATTAGATATTTTCGTGATAAAACGCAATATTATTCAATTTTAAATAAGTTTCGCATATACCAGACCTCGGCTTTAAATTAAAACCGTGATCAGATATGACACTATGTTATAAACGAACAAAAACATGTCATATCATCTGGATATTGTTAGACCTTATAATATATTATGTGATTATGAATAGACATAATTGTAATGAAGGAAGGAATAGAGTATTTGTTTAAATATTTTCCTTGTTTAATGCAATGTGGTATAGCCAGTTTTAACTTTCGTACCTGCTTTATTATTATCTTCATATATAGAAAGTTACTGATATTTTTGTTTTTGTAAAATGAACTAAATGACTCCATCTGTCAATATGTCAGGATATATGGTAACTTAGATATACCGTTTTAATAGCTTTAAATTGATAAAAAATCAAAATAATTTCAATATAAATACTGCTGCACCATTGTCTTATACAAATAGCTTGTCTAAGGAAAATGGCGGGCTTTTCACACATCTTAGCATGAAACTGATAACGATCGCCGATTGGCTTAGCTGTAAGACCCCTGCCAGCTTGATTGACATGCAGCGTAATGTCAATTCCTGAAGAGAAACCAAATGCCAGGTGAAACAGTAGAAACTGTCATAAGAACATAATATTATGAGTAAGCGGACAGCTGCGAATTTGCATCTGATATGAAAATTGAGCAAAATAGATGTGTCATAAAGCAAAAACATGTCAAATTTGTTGGCTACTTAGTAGAACAACATGGAATCTCAGCCGACCCGGACAAGGTCAAGGTCATATAAGAAACTTGTGTCCTCCAAAAGACATACATGGGGTACAGTAGTTTTATGGGAATGGTCAATCAATTTGGAAAGTTTTCCCCACTGGCAGCAGACTCGAAACCTATCTGCTGAGTGCGAAAAAATCATCTTTACTGGGGTTCAAGCCAAGAATAAGCTTTGAATAAAATCAAGATTACTCCTGTGTTAGCTCATTTTGATCAAATTAGGGAAACTGTACTCATGGCAGATTCTTCCAAATATGCTTCCGGAAGTGCTGTTCTTCAGAAACAAGATAATTGGTTCTTTAAGCCAGTATCATTTGCGTCAAGGGCATTTACACAGAAGTTAGATACAGTGTTCTTGAAAAAGAAGTACAAGTAGTTACTAGGGCTGAACGATATACTGATTTTTTGAATTAAGAATAAATCTTTCCCATGTCGTCGATTTTACAGTTTCTTATAAAGCCCAAGTTAAGTGTTGTATGATTTTCGATTTCAAAAGATTGGAAGAATATCTCAATGACTAATTCAATAGAAATTTGAACATCCAAAAGTTAAAAATTCAACTGATGCTATTGCTTATGTACTCGTAAAAATCAAATGAATATTTCGTTCTACCACCATCAAAAGGATAACTTATTTCATATTGCTATTACATGTATATCGCTATAAAGTATTACTTCATAATTTGATATCAATGACTACCATTGCAATACATGCTCGATTTTATCGGAAAATATGCATATGTTATACACCTCATGGTATAATTGGATATTGAATGAGTGTAGTTTCAATCCTGAAATTATTAAACGAGTTGAATAAACTATACACGTGTCAGGCAATGAGTTCAGTAAATTTAGCAATGAGCCTACACGAATAGTGTAACGCCAACAAGAGTGGGCTTGAACTCTTGTTGGCTTGAACGTTTGTATACCGCAAGTGACATCACATCAAAATATATGCACAGCCGTGACCTACCATTGTTACAGAGTCACAAAAATATTTATGACATTTTAATGCTTATATCATAAAATATTTAATGACTGTTAAATGATAAATGTTAAATATACAATACAACAAAAGCTGTTAAGAAGCATGATAATAACAACGAAAAAAAAAACAACATCAACTGGTGACTTTTCTCATAACAAAACAATAAATAAATGTGATCGATTGTACTTACCTTAAAATCACATATAGCCAATTTCAGATTTGGTTACTCTCTTTGGATGACAAAAACAGTACTGACAACAAGAGGGCCGTGATGACCCTAATATCGCTCATCCGAATATAAATACTCTTTATGACAAAGAACAAGTAAACTTTAAGCGAAAGCAGATATAAAATTTTAATCATAAACTGATATCATAAAGTTTATATTGGTATTTGAAAAAGTGCATGTGTAAAACATGACTAGCTGCTTTTGCTCTGAGAAAACGATAGTTACTAAGGGAGACACAGGTTGCTATTCAACTTTGAAATCACTGAAAGCTATGAAATTCAATGACAGATCCACACAGAGCTAAGTAAAAAGAAGCACAATGTAAATATTCGCTTTGGAAGTCACTGGTTGCTATGTAAAAAAAGTCAATGTTTGTTAAGTAAGTCACTGGTTGCTAGGGAAATTTACAGTTTGCTATGAAAGGACAATGTCTGCTATGAAGTCACTGGTTACTATAAAAGTCAATGACTATTATGGAAAGCAAACAGCTGCTAAGTAAAGTCAATGGTTGCTATCAGAGTCAATAATTGCTTTGCTATGGAAAGCAATGATTGCTGCAGAGAGTCACCGGTTGCTATGAAAGTCAATTGTTGCTATTGAAAGTCAATGGTTGCAAAAGAAGTCACAGTTGCTATTGCAAGTCAATGGTTGCTATGAAAAGTCACAGTTTCGGTTTCAATTGAAAGGTAATGAGTGCTATGTGAGACACTGGTAAAGTCATTGGTAACTATGGTAGTCAATAATTGCTATGGGAAGTCATTGGTTTCCATGGAAGTATATGGTTGCTATTGAAAGTCACTGGTTGCGATGGAAATCACTTGCTGTCATGGAAGAATATGGTTGCTATGGAAAGTCGCTATTTCCTATGGAAAGTTAGAGGTCGCTATGTAAGCCAGTGGGTTCTATGGAAAGACAATGGTTGAGATATTATTGACTTGTTGCTATGGAAAATATATGGTTGCCATGGAAAGACACTGATTGATATGGTTAGTTAATGGTTGCAAGTCATGTAGTGTTAAAGAAGTCTATGAATGTTATAGAATGTCAACGGTTACTATGTTATGGGAAGCCACTGGCTGCTATGGAAGTCTATTTTGCTGTAAAAAGTCACTGGTTGCATTGGACATCAATTGTTGCTATGAAAAAAACTGTGGCTGCTATAGAAATTTACTGGTTGCCACGGAAAGGCAATTGTTGCTATGATAATCAACAGTTGCTATGAAAGTCACTGGTTACAATGGAAAGTCACAGTATGCTATTAAATTGTTTGGTTGCTATGGAAAGCCTATAGTCGCTATGTGAGTCAATGGTTACTATTGAAAGTCACCGGTTGCTATGAAAAGTCACATATAGGGAAAATCTATTTTCCCTTTGGGTTGAGCAAAATTTGACATTGAATAGTTTTTGTTGACGTTGACATGTTAAATATCGTAAGCTATAGCCCTTGTAGTTTTTTAAAAGGAAATTTTTGAAGTATTTACTATATAAGGGAAACCCATGATCTCAAGGGCGGGGTCAATTTTGATCCCAGGGCTATAATTTGAACAAACGTAGTAGAGGTCTCCTAGAAAATGTTTCATGTAAAAAACTAAGCTGAAGCTCTAGTACTTTGAGAGAAGAAATTGTTTTTTACCTAAAACATATAAGAATATATATATCCCCACCGGATGGGGCCAATTTTGACTCAAAGACTATAATTTGAACAATTTTTGTTGCGGTCTATATACAATGTTTCATACCAAATATTCAATAAATATCTATAATTAAAGAAGCCTGTTTTGTTTTAACTAAACATATAAGAAAAATATATGACCCCCTGGGACGGGGTCAATTTCGACCCAATGGATTTTATTTGATGAAGCTTGGAAGACACTCACTAGAAGGTCTTTCATGCTAAATATCTAAGCTATAGCTCATTGGCTCTTTTAGAAGATTTTATTTTATTTTATTTTTATTACATGTATACATATAAAGAAAATCAATGACCCCCTGGGGCGGGGTCAATTTTGATCCTAGGGCTTTTATTTAAACAAACTTGGTAGACAACCACTAGAAGATATTTTAATACAAAAAGTCTAAGCCTTAGCTCGGTGGCTTTTTAAGAAGATATCTTTGTTTTTACTTTATACATATAAGGAAAATCAATGACCCCCTTGGGTCAGCGCCAATTTTGATCAACAAACGTGGTAGACACCCACTAAAAATGTTTCAATATAAATATTTAAATATTTAAGCTCTAGCTCTTTGGGTTTTGAAATATTATCTAAGTTTTCATCTTTTGGTTGCCATGGCAAAACAGAGTTCTGCATGTAATTCAATTCATTGAACTCATTTTTAAGATGACTACCCAAGGAACATTCCTGTGAAATATGGATGAAATAGACTGAGCGGTTTATGAGAAGACGTCGTTGACAGTAAAAGTTTACGGACGAACGTCCGGACGAATTGCGATCACGAAAGCTTAACTTGCCACTTTGTGACAGGTGAGCTAAAACAAGACACGAATCTTTTTAATCTGTATCCACTTACATTAAAGTATACGAGTTTGGGGACCTTTCTGTTGAAAATGTGTCAAAGTTAAATCGTATACATATACATGCACAGTGCGTTAACTGGAGTGCAGGTATTAGTCACCCGCACTCCAAAGCATGCCCATTGATTGGCTCATTTTTTTCTGGGGTTTACTTATTTTGACCGCAGAGAAAGAGAAAGCGATAGAAATATCGTATTCAGATGCTCGTTCATTGGTTACTTTTATCTGGGGTTTCATATTGTGACAACAGGGAACGTATTTTATATTTGACGAAAGAACATCAAAACACCCGGCAATCTGATAAAAGCTCGGGGGCTACGCCCCCTCGTACAAATCAGATAGCCTCGTGTTTCGATGCTCTTTCTATTACTTGTCTGTTTATGTAAGGCAACTCGTTACACCCCAGTTACACAGAGCCATCGGTGATTGATCGGTAGTTATTTAAATCGTTGAATTATTGTATTTAATTTGCATATGTATAAAGGAATGTTAGTATGTAAGTTTCGAAGTAAGGCCGCGTCTAGACCTATTCAAGTCTAGAATGCAAGTATCATAATTATGCTCTTGTCTTGCATAATGTATGTAGACAGCCTACTTGAATGATTTTTAAAAAGAAATTATGTGACCTCCGTGAAAAAAACTAGAACATGTTCTACAAGTTTTTGGCTGTCATGACACTGATAACACCGGTCTGACACAAAACATGTGCCCCGAAGTTGTGATACTGTTGTTATTTTTATTATTTTCTTTTATTGTTGTTGATTCAGTGTACATGACCTGTGAATTTCAGTAAATGTTTACAATGTCTTTGTCAAAGGAACAAATCGATACACTGATACACAGAAGAGAACAAAAAAGATCTTTTTTTTTTTGAAAAGAAGAATCAATATGGATTTAAAATGATTTTGTTCATTTAGTGAACAACTTTCGTCAAATAAAGAATTTGCATCAATTTATAATCTCAAAATATATTTTTTCTCACATTTTCCATCTATTTTAAAATAATGTTCACATTTCATTTACTCCATTGTTTTTAGCTAATTGCATGATTTCCCCGCTTTTTTATTCACACACTTTACAGAAACAGGACAGTATTGCAAAGACAAAGCAATCTTAATAAGACATTTCTACAGTGGCTGATTTGGTACGCTTTTGTGCGTCGCGTTGACGCTAGCGACAAGACGACTAAGCGCCAAACGGCGCGCTGTCGTCTTGTCGTCCTGTCTCAAGCGCGGCACGCCAAACGGCGTGTTGTCGAGCGGCGTGTTGTCGCGTGTTTACATTGTCACTCGATTCAAATTGAAGGATTGGCTTATGAGCCAAGCGACAGGGCGATATCGCCACAACGCGCTTTGGCGCTTTGACGTGTTGTCGCTAGCGACAGGACGACAAGACGAAAGTCCGACAACGCGTTGTTTTGCGCTTTGTCGTGTTGTCGCTAGTGCCAACTAGGCGCACAAAAGCGTAACAAATCAGCCACCATACATTTCAGTAAAAACATTTTCAGTATGTTGAAAGGGCCATTTATTTAGCTTATCTAAATGTGACAGGTAAGAAATTTGACAAGGTGTAGACGCGGCCTAAGTTATATAGCAGGATAAAACAGGATAAAGATTTCAAGATATTGTGACCTAGTTCGTTATGACAACCCAAACAAGAAACCAACAAACAACAATACAATGCTCATTAAAATGGTATATATAGACCTTCTTACAATACGGTTCTTCCATAGTAATTAACAGATGTTGCATTTCGCGCATGCGCATTCTGCGTAGGGCAAAACTGCCTGAAATACAATAAACATCTTTTCATTTCAATTGAATATATAATATAATATAGACTGTCAAAGTCTCACGTCGACAATGGATGTGACTTCGAAAAGATTGCATAATTTGAGCAATGGAAAAGAACATATACAGAAAATACGAGTTAAAACAATTCTTTAAATTATATTAACTACCTGTAATTTTTTTTTTTTTTTTTTTTTTTTTGTTGATAAATAATGATATGTTATTTAGAAATAATTACCTTGTTCTGATTATTGATGCCGGACAAAGTATTATATAAATGTATCATTGAAATCAATAAACATAATTGAGCCGTGTCACGACAAAACCAACATAGTGCGTTTGCGACCAGCAAGAATCCAGACCAGCCTGCGCATCCGCGCAGTCTGATCAGGATCCATACTGTTCGCTTACAAACCCAATAACAAGTAGAGAAACTGATAGCGAACAGCATGGATCCTGATCAGACTGCGCAGATGCGCAGGCTGGTCTTGATCCATGATGGTCGCAAACCCACTATGTTGGTTTTGTCATGACGCGGCTCATATAAAAATCACACTGTAATAAAGACCATGATAAATCTCTCCTTTAGATGGTCTTTACTCACGGGTTTGACTATAACTGTACATTTATCACTTGGGTGATTTATAATGCGGTGAATATTTATAACTGGGACATCTTTTCATGATCGTGCATTTATCAATATTAATCAGAAATGTAAATG